TGGTGTCTGGTATTCCGTTAGGGGCGGCCCAATCGCCAACCTAGCAGTAACTTGCACGATAACGTGTACGACTTGACACTAGCTTTTGCGACTCGTGAACGTCAACGCCACATAACGGTGCTGCAGCATGCTCGTGAACCGATATACTCCTACCTCCAAAAAGGTCCCCGATCGACGCCTTGTTACTTAATTTCGGCCTCTTTGAAGGCTTGCCCCACGCTTGGGGCACGCTAGTGCAAGCGCTGACCTCGTGCGTGTTGATGTAGTGCACTACAGCGGCGCTGTGCTTGCACTCGCCGAGGACACCGTACCGGCAAGTGCAGGACCCGGCGACGACCTTTCGCGAGTCTTGGATTAGCTGTGCAAGGAAAACATTAATAAATCACCCTTTTGTCCATGTAAATCTCGATAATATATCTACTCCTCATTGCTTGCACTCACCTGGAGTGTTACGTCGTACACGTGTTTTCCCTGCTGGGAATGGCACTTGGCCGCGATGTCCGTGCCGTTCTCTTCCCGCGCGCCATACACGTGGTTGTTCTGGAACAACCTCTTCCCCTTTTCTAATGCCTGGTCGCGATAAAAGTTGCCGATATCTTGAATTGGTTTGAATCCGCAAAATAAAATAACGGGTGGCATCTTTCACGTGATACCGGCCGTGTCGCCGATTTAAGCCTTCTCAGTAATACGGCATTTGGCCACGGTGGCGCTGGCGATCAACCGACGGTGGCGCGCCCTAGGTACACTGCCCAGGGGGTATAGAGGAGGCTATGACAGAACACGTCGCCCGGCGCCGCGTGGACGCCGCCACACCTGGGAGCGGAGCTGAGCCGGACTCTTCTCTCTGGCTGCGGGGGTCAGTCGATCCATGAACCAGCTGCCCTACCGGGAGAGGATTCCGGGGGACGACGCCGGCGGCGGGACTTCCGGCCGAGTACGCTCGGCTCAAGTTTTCGTCCGGCGCCACTTGCGGATTATCCCGCTAAACCTTTCCCGAGCCACGACGCCGCATAATGAGGGGATCATCTCCATCACGGTCAACGTCTCACGAGCTGACAGCGGACCCTTCGTCACCAACTACATCTCTTGCAAAAAAAAAGCTCTAAGAATAATTTGCAATGTCGGCTATGACTTTCACACAGAATCCCTTTTTCGCAATCTAAATGTCATGAAAATCTTCACACTTTACAACTTTAAGTTATGCATGAAAAATAAAATAGAATGCAGTAAAAATAGAGACTGTTTCATTTCTCTAGCGTCCCTAAAGGAAAAAAAGCTCAAATTATCCAACTCGTAGTTCTGAACCTTGGTTCATTGAAAACTCCCGCTCTAACTATGGTCTTCAGAGAATCAAAATAACTCTCCCGAAGTTGCTAAATATGCTAACCCTAAAGCACATAGACATAACTACTCTTTCACCCAAAGAATTGCGGTCTTATTTTTTGTGTTGCGAGTGATATGGTTACACTTGAGTTGCATTTGCATTGTACTTGCTTTGTTGCTTGTTTTTTGGTTTTAAATTCACTTTTCTCTGCATTAGCTAATATTGTATAACTTTTTATATTTTTTTTCTTCTTTTTAATATGTATACGCTGTGTGTGAACTCGCATTGCCGCTGCTGCTGAAACTTTTGTGGTGCTGGGAACTCGTCAAGCTGTCCATACAGCTTTTTTTCCCAGCCCCCGCCATTGTAAAAAATGGTAAATAAACATTGAATTGAATTGAATTGAACTCCTGGCGCGGCTTATCGAGGTCAAGAATGCCCCGGCGCCGGATTGGGAAGCCCGTCCGACGCTGCAGTGTGTGCGTGTATGTGTGTGCGCGCTCGAGAGGATGAGTCGGGGGCGGGGCCTGAACATGACGTTCGTTGGCAGTTCGGCCACCATTGGCTGCCAACCGCTGGAACATCAACAGCAACTGTATAAAAAGAGCAAACGAGAGGCCGCAAGGTGTGCTCTCCGACGAACAAGAAACTTCTGTACATATGTATTAAAACAGAGTTTATCGCGAGACACCCTCCCGTCTCCTGATGTCCCTGCCTGGAATCGGCCTGCGGTTCCTGTCCTCGCCTGGCCCTGCCTGAGGCTGCCTGGGGAACTCCTCGGTCGCAACAAGGGGAACAAGGAGGAATAAAGACAAACACAAATCTCTAAACACAGCTAGGTGACTGGTGCGCGACCGGAAAATTCCGCCTCGTCCTGGTACAGTAACCCCCGTTAACTCGAAGTCATAAAAACCGGGAAAAATTTCGAGATAAGCGAAATTTCGAGATAAGCGGAGTACGGAAATTTCCGAAGTACCGACCGCGGATTTCGAAAATCTAGCGCTTCCGATAATCGTATCAATCACAGCTTCGTTTTAAGCAAGAAATCACTTACTAAAACGAGAAAAAATGAATTAGAAACAAGCGTCCAGCGGTCCAGCGCACGCACATCTTCCTCAAAGAGCGCCGCCGTCATCCATGTGGACGGGGTTGAACGAAGGCGACGCGACAACGGCTTGGCGGCGTGGCGACTACGGCCAACGGCGACCACGAGATCGGGAGTGACGATAGAACGCCACAAGCCAGCACGAGAAAGCAAAAAGCAAGAAAACAAACGTCCTTGAACGCTCGTCGCGTTCTGTGCACCCGGAACGCGTTCGCGGCGCTTCCTTCTTTGTTTATTTTTCTCCCGCGCTTCCTTCTTTTGTTTATTTTTCTCCGGCACTTCCTCCTTTTCTTTATTTTTCTCCGAAGACCCTCTCTCTCTCTCTCTCTCTCTTTGTTAGCGTTATTTTTAGGCCGCGATCGCTTCGTTCGCGATGCAGATAAACTTTCTCCTTCGGCCTCAGTGTCCTTTCAGGAATATTTTTTTTATTTTTGCAAGCGAAGTTTCGAGATATCCGATGCCCGTCCGGGATACTTTTCGAGATAAGCGATGTCAAAATACATGGTGCCAATGGCGATTCATTTCGCAACGCACAAAAGTTTCAACGTAACCGATCTTTCGAGATATCCGTGTTCGAGTTAACGGGGGTTTACTGTATTGAACCAGGGTCCTCTGCATTTCCAGTGGAGGAGTCCCTGGTTTGGTACCAGGACCGGGCGGACTTTTTCGGTCTTACACAAGTCGCTTATGTGTATTTGGATATTTGTGTTTGCCCTTAATCCCCCTCCCCCCCCCCCCCCAAAAAAAAAAATTATTGCAAAAGTAAATTATGTTTTGTCGAACGCTATTTTCTGCCGAAATGTATTGCTAGTGGTCGGAACCGGATGCTACATTTCATAACTAACCGCTAGCTTATTAAAATTTTGTAAGCAATTTTCTGAAATTCTAAATGGGAAAATGGTGCCAGTTATCAAAACCGGGTCCCATTTTCTTATTGAAATTTTCTGAAATTCGTAATGGAAAAATGGTGCCAGTTATCAAAACCGGGTTCCATTTTCTTATTGAAATTTTCAGAAAATCCCTTCCAACTTTTAAGCGCGATTACGGTTCGTTCTGAATATTTGGCAAGTGGTTCGGAACACTAGCTCTAGATTTGGGGGGAGAATAAGCGTTCGGTGATGCACAGTTTAAAGAGGCGACGCAACGACCTCCTGAATTTGGTCAACTAACTGCGCGAAATAATCTGCCTCACCTGTGGAACAAAGAATAGAAAACCATATTTTCTGGCGCACGCTGTTTTTACTAAAAAAATGAAACAAATCGAAGGTCAAAGCGCCTCTCAACTCTCACGTCGTCTTTCGAGTGATGTACTCCGGGGGAACACCTGGTTTTCCTTTGGGTTCTCTTTTTCAGATCTCCCAACCACTTCTTTCGCGATTATCGACCTTTCAAGGATTGGCATCTCCGAAGGTCGGAGTGAGCGATCGACACAAAAGACGGTTTCGCCACGGGGCTGACGGCGAATGTAGCAGCGGAGGGGGACAGGTTTTGTTGACTTCGCGTGTCCCCAGAGACATTTCACCCTAGTTCCCGTAACCGCCACACGCGGCTGCAGATCGGCAAATAATTATTTTTTCTTCCTTTGCGATTACGCAGCGAAATAGCAGTTTTTCGGGGCAAGGTGCCACATTTCATGTCACTTGCGCCTAGACGAACGATATAAAAAGATACAAACCGCAAGTTGTATTAACATTAAAGGGGTACGGAAACCAAATTCTGGAGCTCATTTCTTTGTTTCAACACGACGCAGGTAGCAGCACAACCACAGAAACATAAATATTGCACTAGAAAACGCAAGACAACATATTTTAAAGTGAATTAAACAATAATCAAAAACCACCTGGTAGTTGGTTATGAAGCTTCAATGGAATGTCGTGACGACAACATGCCTCTGAAAGCAGCGCCGCAGCGGTATGTCCGCTCACTGGTATAGATTGCCTAGGCCTGAACGCGATACCAAGGCGTCTTGGTGGAAAGAGCCAAAACGAAGTGAGCCACCTTGGTTTCAGCTCTCGCGCGACGTGCAAACGCGTGCTTCGGTTGTTCTCAGGTTTGGTGCGCGTGCTGGCCCCGCGATATCTACAGCCCTTGGGTACTTCGACAAAGCGAGATTGTAACGCGTTGACGCCTCCAAGTGGCAAAACTCGTCACTACAGTACGCTTGGTCGTCCGAGGCATGATGACGTCAAGATGTCTGCCGGATCTCCCGAGATGCATCGCGCTCCTCCATGGCTGATTTTGAAGCGCTCGCCAAAATCGCGGCATTTAGAGCATAAAATATAGCCATCTGCTCAAAATACGACCGTGCGATTATTCATTACAGGCTTAGCTGATCATATTGAACTCATTTCTTGATGTTTTCTCTATATTTCAAGTTTCGATTCCGTATCCCTTTAAAACCATTGCACTACGCCTTTATTTCTGCGGTAAAAAAAAATTGCAACACATAACTATTTAATAAAATATTTGGGACACGCTGCAGTGAGTCTCCAAGCAACACCATCCCTCAGGTATTACCTTTTGAAAAATAAATTAACCATCAGTATTTGCGGCGAAGCGATTTCTGCATACCTGCTTGAAGAGAGCGTACAGTTGAAGTTTGACGTCGTTGGAAGGTTCCTCGGGAACGTTGTTCAGATCCTTCACGGCCTGGTTGAACTTCTCTGATGGCGAGGCAGCCGAGAAAGGCCTAAGTGCAGCGTTAACCCTGCGTGAGAGATTACGCCTTGAGTGCAGCGAATCGCTTGTGCTTCGACATTTCGGTGCTGCAAAGGGGAGCGCACTCAGTGTACGGCTTTAGGCAGCATTTGAGGAAGCCGACATTGGCTGTCTGCCAAAATTCACTCGATCCGAGTCTTGAGTAAAGGTTTCGTACCGTGGCGTTTCAAAACTTACTCGCGCTTACTTGATGACGTGAGAACCCGCGTTCCAGAAACGGGTTGGTTTACTCCGGAGTAATTACTCACGCTACCCTCCTCGACCGATGGGTAACATCGGATCACATCGAGTAAATATGTCACGTGACCTGTTCGTCGTCTGCTCGTCGTCTGCTCGTCGTCTGCTTCCTGCGCCCACAGCCGTCAAAGCTCGTTTGCTCCGTCGGCTTTGGTGGCAGACGTTCGAAATGAGAGATAATGACGTGCAGCCATTTTTGTGTGATTATTGCGATTGGCTGGTTTCAACGTATGAATTGACTGTGCACCACATCCAGACCGTACACCTTTCTCTGTTGGTATCATCAGGGTGCGAGCGTAAACAGGAGCTTCTCCGCATCCTCGTCCTCGGCGTTGGAGGAAACTCGTATTCTGAAGTTCAACGTTGAAAATGCTCGACCGCAGTATATGATGTGAAAGTTTTTTTGTTTGTTTTTTGGTTCTGTTTTGTTTTTCCTCCAGAGTGTGTGAAATGAGGGAATAACACTTGTAAAGCAGTGAAGGCTTGGAAGATTTCATCTAAATGACCAGTAACCCCACCCCATCTCCCACCCCCCAAAAATTGGAAGTTCTGGGATTTTATAATCATATTCCTGTCAAAACGAACGTTAGTTACACATCACGTTAGCTACACAGATCACACATTAGTTACACGTGGTAGAAATCCCGTCGGTTGGGTTGTATAATTTTTTGTGTCTTTATTGGTTCTTTCCTATGCTCTATGTTTATTTTTCTGGTTCGCCTGAAAATTAAACTTTAGTTTACAGTCAGCGCTTTGTCCTAGCACTTCTTTCACTCGTCCTTTGTTCAATTTTTCGCGCTGTTTCCACGTTTGACGATGTTCAACCAACTAGCCCAACTTACCGCCTTGTTACACATCACCGTTGAGAAAACCACCTGCACTGTACCGCTACACCCGGTGTAGAAGCAATTTCCGCGAAATGTAATCAGGGCAAATTACGATGCGTGGAACGTATGCGTTTAGGGCACCTGGACTAGACACACATCTATCTCGATCATTAATAAAAACAAAATCTGGATGCTTAAGTGAAGTAATTTTGATCTCAATGTACACCCCGAAAGGAAGGTGAGCAAAAGAAGCTGGTGGAGCCACCTCAAAACACATCGTGTCGTTACTGTCAAAGAAAAACTTCGCAGCGGTTAATATTATCGTCTCTTCGAGTGCTTTCTCCGTGATCAAAAGAGATTGTCTGCTATTTTCTGCCATTTCCGCGATGTTTTCGCTGTGCCTTAGCCCATAACGAAGCCAATCCGCGTAGCATCCAGGCGATCATCCCGGCTATAGTGACTTAAGGGGGTAGTGTAACTATGGTGCCTGGAACCATAGCCTCCTATATACTGACAAAGCCTGGCACATCGCCACGAGAAGCGGCCGCCGAAATGGAAAAGGTGGAGCGGCAGACAACGGAGAAGAGAAGAGCCCTGTGACTAGCGCCCCGCTGCGGCGAGGCGCCGAAACACACTTCTCCCGAGCGAACAAGTGTGTTTGGGTCCTCGCCGCTGCAAAAGCTACGCGCTGACGTCGAGGTTCCCCTAGAGTAACTGTATATGCTCCGCTTGCGGAGCAGAGTACCGCAATGGTGCCATTCTGGAGCCAAGCACTCCGGGAAGCCACGCTCGGTTTTTGCAGGGGCACGAAGGCGCAGTCGCGAGGCGGCGTGCTGCGGCGTGCTGTGGCGCGCTGCGGAAGGAAAATAGTGCGGCGTGCGGCGACGAGCCGCGTATGCGCCGTGATCGTTGTCCCGTCGTTTCCTGTCTCCCTGTCTCCCTCTCGCAAAAAGCGCACTCGCGTACCTGCGCGTACGCACCCGCGGGTCCCGCGAGTCGCGTGCGAAGTGAAGCAGTCAAGTCGCTGTTGCTGTGACGCAGATAGCGTCGTGAGCCCGCTGTCTGCCCAACTTTTGGAGGACCTTTCCCCTCGAGCGATGGCAAGAAGCAAAAGAACGCAGGCCTGCTTATTTTCCTCTTGCGTTTAATCGAAGAGCAAGTGCCGATGCTCACCCTGTGACATTTTTTTTTTTTTTTTTTTAGCAGACAGTTTATTTGATATTACGTAGACGGAACAGTGCTTTACCTTCGTGCTTTCTAATTATATGGGAATCCGAAGAATGTCGAGCACCCCCACTTTCATGCTAAAATAGTGTACAACTTATTTTTTTCTTTTTATCCGAAATTTTTGTCATTTCACGAATTCGAGACGCCCGAGTTGAGAGCTCTTCGAGACCGGAATCTTTGCATGCTTTCAAGTTGGGCTAAATTTTGAATTCGCTTGAATCGCAAACATTAGGGGCTCGCGAATAATAAATGTTAGACGGTGCTCCAAACTTTGGGAGATGCCGCAAGGTGCAAACTGCCTAATGTAAAAAAAAGTCCACCGACGTTCCACTTTCATTGCGGATAAGTCGATGAAAACGCAGTCCAATTCGTTGCAGGGACCAGAATGATGCCGAGATTGACTGTTTTCCTATTAACCAGTATATTCCGCCCTAAGAACAGGGCGATAGAGCTCTGTCTACATTCAGTGCGTGAAACCAGCCTAAATCTCGCTTTCTCTTAGTATTTTGAACATCTTAAAGAAATTGCGAACAGGCACAGCACTAACAGTCTCTAAAACATGTTTATCCACACCACTGCTTGCGGAAATCTTTTAGGGTATTGTAAAAGGGCAGGCAATGATTAAAATGATCTCCTTCCCATACGAAAAAGCCAGACGAGGCGGTGTCTTACAACGTGTCTCGCCGTCGGAATCCGGTACAAGGTCTTGACGCTTTCTGCGCGATTTGTGCACTTGGTAACACTACAGGCTGTCATTTTCACGCATGCAAAATTTAATGCGGTAAACGACGTAGCGGCTGCCGAAAACGCCGTCCCCCCGCTTTCAAACGAGAGCTCGGCGACTCGCCAAGATGGCCGGATGTGCCGGTCGCGTATCGGTATCGCGTATCACTCCGCGAGAGCCGCAGACGCGGGGAACGCGATCGTCGTCCGTGTCGTCTGCTTCACAAAACCTTGAAAACGAATGCCCCAAAACATCGCTCGCGTTATAAAAAAACGGGATTGTTCTGTACCCAGTTGATTCACATAATGTCCAATGACTTAGGAAGCTTTCGGTTCGTTTGATTTTGGTCAAGGATCTATATTTTACGAACGCAAAGCGGAAATTATGTTTCCCCCAAGACTCGACGCTCTGGAAGGCCGCTTTCCCGCACGAGAGTCGGATCCAGTTCTGCGCACGTGACCACTCCTCCGCTAATACGGAGATGGCGGCGCAAGGAAAAGGAACGCGCTACTCTGGCTCTGCAAGCAGAGCCTATCCGCGACTCCAACTAACTATAGGTGGCGCCACTCATTTTCCAAGATGGCGGGTTTAGTGAGGGTCAGAGATGCGTGCCGCTGTTGAGCCCGTCTAGTGTGCTGGCTTCACTGAGCGACATAAATTATTTCTGGTAATACGAGGAAGCTAATGTTTTATGAGCGCAGGTTACCCCTTTAACCGGAAAACAAGAACGGTGTTTAGCGTATTTTTTACGGAAGGATGCGCGTTTTAATTCTGGAGCGAAACCGAAACTTACCTCTATTTTGGATTTAATTTCTCGATATAGGCCTTAATTTCGAATTATTTCACGACTCAAGATGTGTCTCACATCGTAATTATTTACATTAGAAAAGTTGTTCGCGGAAACTTTATTTTATGACATATTGTTCGATCCAGGGTGATATTTGTAGTTGCTGAAAAAATCAGTGCTGATATCTGTGCGTTCTCGCAGCCTTTCTCTCGCTCAGATAATTGTCATGGGAAATAATGACAATTATTCCAGCACAAGAATAAGAAAACAATTCTAATTTTTATAATATGTCCACGAAACGTATAAACTAATAAGCGCTGCTCTCACTGCAACAACCCAAAGACGGAATCCGAGTCAGACAGCTGAAGTGTGTGTGTGTGTGTTTAGCACCGCGTGATGTGTAGGACTTCATATTACATTCATTGTTTGACTGTTTGTCTATCTTGATAACTATGTCAGAGTTTTTCATATGCTAAAAAGAAAACAGAATTATACCTTTCTGGAAAGACTATTATTGTTAAATAGCGTATTCTCGCGATCTTGGCGTTAATTGGAGGCATACTTTGCCGCGATTTGTATTAATAATATAATATTAAAAGTCACATATTTGAATAAGTAATTCTTCAAGTTCTAATATAATTTGTTGCTTATGGTCTAATTTTAAACGCGCGAAGAAATATGACAATAAAAACTGTGCCAATTATCATCACTGGTTTCAGTTGCTGCATTTTAATTACCAATAAAAAAATAGTCTAAAATCAATTAAAACAGTTTAGCGAAGTGAGAAATCCATGTAAAATTACATTAATTGTGAATAAAGTATGTCGTGCTCAAAGTAGCGACTTTTGACAACCGGCGAAACGCCCAAAGTCGCCGCCAATAACCTTCCAAACCAAATGCCCCCCCCCCCCCCCCAAAAAAAAAAAATGAAAAAAAGAAAAAAGCTTTTTTTTAATTACTAGTTTTTTCATAACATTTATTTACTTTTGTATTTGCTCGCCGTTGTTTTGCCAATCTCAACCTTTCCAGTTCGAAGGAACGCCTACCTGCTTGCCCGTCTGGTCACTGCAGCACGTTTCGTTGGCGTTGGAAGCCGGTGAAACAGTTGTGAGTTTTAATATTGCGTATACGAGCGAACTCAAGCCCTGTGTGTTTGCGTTAGCTTTACGTGGTCTACACTGCGCGTG